GTGAGCGCCGGGGACGCCGAGGTGAGGGCAGGGACGGCGAAATGCTCTGTTTTACAGCTGTTCTCCTCCTGTTCCCGTCGGAAACGGGGCGAGGGTGGCGGTCCCGCTGGCCGCGCCGGGTGCAGCCGAGGCGGGGGAGCCCTAGGGACTGAAATAGGAGCCAAAAATGAGCCGCTGAGGGTGTTTGGTGGCAGGGTCTGGGGAGGGTCTTCCTGCGGCTGGGTTTGTTTCGTGGGTTGAGGCAGAAAGCTGCTGTAGGGTGCTCGAGGCTTTGGTGCTGTGAGGAGAGGGTTTTTCAGGGCTGTTGAAGCTTTGCCCACGTTTTCCTGTGTTATGTTCAGCGCCCGTCAGTTTCCTCTGCGTGTCGATGTTACTCTGCCAATGGAGAGTTATTCCTCCCCTCCCCCTGGGTGTCCTCTGGAGAGGATGGCTTGGCTGTCTGTCTGTGGGATATCTTTAGGAAAACAGTCCTTCGGGGCTGCTTCTGCCAAGTCCTAATGCGGCTCCCGAATCCGTGGCGGTGCAGCCTCACCATGCACCACTTAAGCATCACCTTTCTTGGTCTTGCTTTTCAGCAAAATGAAGCTGAAGGAAATAGACCGTACTGCCATGCAGGCATGGAGCCCTGCCCAGCAGCACCCCATTTACCTGGCCACAGGTGAGTTTTTTGGGCGCGTGTTAGCAGACCTCGGGCTGTGTGCGGTGGCTGCCGTGGAGGGGCCATTATTGAAAGCTGTAGGAGTTACTCTGTGTCCCGAGGGCTGGAGTGGAGTATGTGTTGTGGGGCTTGGAGTGGAGCTCTTGAATTGTGCTGATGAAAACATGCTTTGTATTCTACAAGTGACAAGCAAGCATCCTCTTCCTTTTGCCAGGGAAAGGTGACACCAATCCTAAGCACTGGTCACTTGTGGCTTGTTTTTAACTTTGTTTGTGTTCTGTGCATCATCAGGGAGAGGTACTTGCCCAAAGCTTTTCAGCAGCACCCAAAGGGAGAACCATGGGAGGAGACTTGTGTGGGACTATAGCTAACAAACAGAAATCTTGACCCCATCTCAGGATCCTTTTTGAAAGGATATTTTTGTCCCCCTTCTTGTGCTGCATTTGCAGTTACTGCTATGTATCATGGCTTTCTCACTGCCACACGTGCTTCCTCACAGGTACATCAGCTCAGCAGCTGGATGCAACCTTCAGTACAAGTGCTTCTCTAGAAATATTTGAGTTAGACTTAGCAGATCCTTCACTGGATATGAAGAG